CAGTGTCGGTTGGCTGCCATGAACCAGCTGCACACCTCGTCCAGTCATCTGTGGCCTGGCAAAGAGGTTCCCATGGTAGAGATGGGACTTTTGCATGTGAAGTGACACAGGGCTGCCACTCTTGGCCGAGACTGTGAGCTGAGCGGTTTCCCGTACAAGAGATGGTAGACGAGGCTGGCATCCTGACATATAACTACATCAGGATTCACTTAGTAATTCCCTTGTTGTTGGACACAGGTTGTATTCAACTTTTCATTTCACATCTTAGGCTGTGAAAGACACTTTGGAACATGAATATTTGTATAAAATTGATAATGTTTCCTTAGACCCCCTAGCAGTCATACTACTGGTTATGAATATGTGACATAAGTGATTGTCAAACTTCAGCATGCATCAGCACTGCTTGCAGGACTCAGTGGAACACACAGAGCTGCGACCCATCCCCACAGCATCGGATTCAGTGGGTCTAGTGTGGGGCCCGAGGATTGCATTCCTAACACATTTCTAGGCAAGGCTGACACTGGGAGAGGGATTTCTCTCCTTCTAATGCTTCCATAGCAATTGGTGCCTCTTTAGAACATTTAACACAATCTGCCTTGTGTTAGAATTAAGATGGCATGTATTCATCCCCCCCCCTCAGAACAGGAGCTCTGTGAAGTTGCTGCTGTTTCATTTATCTTTTTACTAAAGTGCTAAGCAGGGAAAGTGTATTTCAAAAAAAAGCATGTTACATAATCTGTTGCCTAATTCCCTTGTTAGTCTCTCCTTTGTTGTATTAATGCTTCTCCATGTTCCCTCATCTTTATTATTTGCAGACACTGAAAAGTTGTTGCCACTCAACTTTGCTTCACTTTTTAAGGAATAGCAGCAACTTTTTCATGTCTGGATTTTATACTTTGTCGTGTCATCAACTATTCTTGATCTAAATTGTCCTTGGGTTGGATGACGATGGAAGGAGATTGTTGGGGAAGATAGGATGGGCTGGCTTAATTTAAACAGTGCCACAAAGGCTTAAGCCTAGATCTTAAAATTAATTTTACCATTAGCAAGCTTGAAATCAAAATCAGAACGAGATGTTTGTGAAAGGACCTAGAAAGTAATAAACCCTTATCTAACTTATGGAATTATTAATGTGAAAACCTAGGAAAGGAAAACACTTAAAAACTAACTTTCCCAACTTTATTTCCATCATATTCCAATGACAAAAATTAGACACTCATATGAAAATGAAGAGACTAAAAATGTATAAACTTAGAACATTTAGGCTGAAGTTAGGAGAGCCCCTCATGAATCTATCACAGAAGCCAGAAAGGCCCTTTTGACTCAGATTTGAGGCATTTTCACTCCCAACGTTAACAGAGTAAGAGATTATGAGTGAACTGGCCCTCACGTTCTCCGAACATCGTTGGGTGAGATTCTTTCACTCTGGTTTATTTCACCTGAATCAACGGTCTCCTTCTTCAACCAACATGTCTTACCTAAAACAGAATCCACAACCTGTTTTCAAGATTTTGTTTGGCATAAGATCAACGTCCCAAGGAAAGTACTTGTTTGCAATTACATACATGAAATGCTTACCATGGGTCCTCTTGACAAAGCATTCCCAGCCACCTCCTGGTAGGATAAAGCTTGCCCTCTGGCAAATTCCTCAAGAAAAGGCTTGTGAGTGTAGTGTTCCCTGAGTTCTGGCATGTTTAAAACCAGTTTGCTATGGACCTGCTACTTGCAGGACAGCTTGGCTGGATACAAAATTCTTGAGTCCTATTTTCTTTCCTTCAGTTTTTAAAAAATAGTACTCCATGGTTGCCTTTCTTTCTACATTGATATTGAAAAGTCTGATATTGCCCTAATGTTTTGCCATTCATTAATTCATTTACATTTAATTATTTTACCTAAGGACTTTCTCTTTGATAAGTCCTATTAATTGTACTAGGAGGTATGTCTTGTAGTTGAGCACTGTAGGTTGGTTTTTCCAGGTACTTGAAGAGCCTTATTAATATATATATAATTTAATCTTCTCTTGTTTCTGGAAAGTTTTCTTAGATTATAGTTTTAAATGTTAGTGTTGTTTAATTGGTTTATTTTTCTTCAGGGACAATTATATATATATTTCATATTTATATATTCCTCTTTGCCTCTATAACTATATATAAATATATATTTATATATAACCCTCTTTGCCTCTCCTCCATTTCGACCACTTTCTGACACCCTTTTACTTCTTTTATTTTCATTTCCTTAATTGTTCTCTTGGTTGTATTTACTATCTATTAAATTTTAATTTGAATCTATCCTTTTGGGTACCTTGCAGTTTGGTCCTCATTTGTGATATGGTTTTGTCTTTTTCCTTCCATTTCTTTCCTACGTTAGATCAACTCCCATTTCACTTTTCCTGCTTTTTATTCATTTCGGTTAATGCCAGATTTGTGATTCAAGCGTGCCCTTTTCCCTCCATATCATCGAATGCTCCCTTTAATGCTCATATCACCCACTGATGCTTTCAGAGATCATCCTTTTTTCATAGATGCAAACACTGATGTCAACAGAGGTGAAATGCCTTGCTCGAAGTCATGCTCCAAGCTGGTAGTGCAATTGAGGCTCTGTTATGTTTTCTGACTGTTTTCCCCTTCCACACTGTATCAAACTCGTGCTTTTTAGGAATGAGCTAAATTTAACTAGCAAGATTCAACTCTATGTCTTTTACAGATAAAATTTTAGTGATATATCTGAAATACAATATAAAAATGCAACTTGAGAATTCTTTTTTATCATTGCACATAATGTGTAACTAGCTTTTATAATTATGTATGTGTGTAGAGAGACATAGAAATAGATACTGAGAAATAGATTGAGATTCACCAGAGATACAGGAAAGAAGTAGCAATTACCCATCCCTGCTATTGATCTTTACTCTCTTGAAGGCAGGTGACTAGCTCAGATGACTTATCCAAGTACTTTCTAGGTTCAGTTCTTTGAAGTATTTTGAAAGCATTTGTCACTGTCACCAAGACATGTTCTTCAGAAAGCATTTTCCTGAACAGGAAAAAGTATTTTTAACCCTGAGTTAATGCTTACTTTGATTGCCTGCTATGTAAAGGTCTGTGGATCGTGAGCACCCACATTTTTGAAAGTCTGTTAGAAATGCAGAATCTCTGGTCCCACTCCAGGTCCACTGAACTAGAAACTGCGTTTTAACAATATCCCCAGGGGATTCACACACACATTAGAGGCTGAGGGGCCCTGATCTAAGAGGGTCTGCCAACAGACTGAGGAGTAAAACTGAATGTCTTGTATTGAATCACCTCCTTTTAAAAAGTGCAGTATCCACTCCCAGATGATAATTTTAAAATATAAAATATAGATTCTGTAATTTTTTTAAACCCCAAACTTCAAGTATTTTTTTCAGTAGATAATCCTCATAGATGTTTCATAGACACAAGAGATGCTGGAGTTGGAACAAACCTTGGAAACCATTAGTCTAAACTGCATTCACCCAAATGCAGAACCCCTCCTTCTAATCTACAACATTCCTTTGTGGCCTCTGACTGAACTCTTCCAAGAAAGAAAGCTCACCAAATCACAAGACACTATCATTCTTTTCTGTTCACTGTCACACTTGATGTCCTAGTTTAGTTCTCTCACCTGGACCATGGCAACAGTGTTGTAAACTTCTGTCTCAATCTTTCTGACCATCGTAGAGACAAAATTATCTTCCTCAAATCATATACCAACATATGTGATACTTGAAAAAAAGGCTGACTTCCAGATCAGTTTGCAATTGTCCACTCTACATAACCATCTTTCACTTTCTCTGGTCTAATCGAACAGATCAGCTAATTATCACAAGAGCAGGGTGATCTGAGTTTTGTGCCAGCCCAACTCCCTGCTTCAGTCCTGTTCCCTCTGTCGCAACTCACCTGCTCTCGGCTTTGGCTGTGGAAATTCCACTCATTTTTGCTTCTCCTCATCTCCCCAGTTCCTGGATATTCACTGATAGCAGCAACTATCCTTTTGTGTTTCTTTTCTCTGATTTTTGTGAAAGCGGAGAAGTTTGCCTTGACTCCTAGTTAAAGGACAAATTCATCTGGAACAGGAATCTAGTCCTCTACAAAGCCTCTTTTGGCACCTGGCTGCCCTCTTTATGCTCTTCTTGTGAGGGGCAGGCTTCTCTGTCTGTACTATCACCCAAAGTTCACTGGAGAGTCAGTCACCTGTCCAAAAACGTGCTCTTACTGTCTGAGATTCTCATTGTCAGAATCTCATTAGAATGCCTTTGGAGACAGAGGCACTGTAGTTAAAATTCACAAACATCCATCGAGTTCTTACCATCCTCAAATAATTTTGCTAGGTGCTGGTATGGATATAGAGAGATATGAGATAAAAGCAAAGTTCCAGAGTGCACGTTGTAATGGAGAAAAATAAAAACAACTTTATCTTGTTGAAGGCATCATGTTATTTAAAGTGAACATTTTCCCCAGATTTACTTATCTGCTTAACTTGGGATTCCTTAGCTCTCTCCTCCCTCCTCCCCGCTCCCCGCACCCGCGAGCAGAGGTAGGACATTAAGATATGGGACACCACAGTGCAGTGCATTCTTCCCCTCCAAACGATTTTCTCAAGCCCCATTTTAAATAATGCTGAGAGTCCTAAGGGCTGTTGTTTACATATTTCTTTTCCACATTAGACTGTGAGCTACTTGAGGGCAGAATTCATTTCTTCTTCCCAGAAAGACCCCTGCTTGACATTTAGTAATTAATGATGAGAGAGCTTGCTGGGCGGCAAACTCTTAAAAACGCTTTACGTATTTCCAATCATTTAGTACACGAACTTGTTCGAGCGAAGGAATCGATCCTCTCCACTGCCCTTCCATCCGGTGATCCGTGACCTCACCTACCCGCCGTCGGCCTTCACCTACCAGCCAAAAGTCCCACGCCCCGCCCACTCGCCGCCAAGCAGCCAGAAACCGGTCGCACATCATGACGTCACTGGCGCGCGCCCTCTGCCATTGCATTTCTAGCGGCGTGCGTGTTAGGTGGTTCTAACTTCCACCCTACCTGTCCATCCCGTAGCTCCAGTTGCTCAGATCCGGAGGGCCCCGGCGTCACAGGCTCTGCGACATGTCCATGTTGGCTGAGCGTGAGTGTTGAGCGCTGAGGCCCAACCAGGGCGGGAGGGCGAAGGTTCCGGGTTACACCCCCGACCGGACCTAGTAGCAAAGAGTGCGGGTCCCTGGCGCTCAGTGTGTTGGAGGATGCCGCGGGCCGGACACTGGGAAGCTGGCTTCGGTTCGCCCTGCCTGCCACGGAGCTTTCCCAGTCCAGCCTTCCTCAAACGTTAGCTACGGGTTTGCTAGTGAAAGAAACTTCGAGTTCAGAGCTGAGCACGCGCGCGGCGGATTTGAATGAGAACCAGGATACCAGTCTTGGGAACCCGAAATGATTCTTTTCACTTCCCTGGGCTAGTTAGAGCAGGTTAGGTTAGAAAGAGGAGGTTAGGCCTGCAGAATCTCCTTTGGCATTGAAATCTCATTCTCAAAGATACATTGAACCTAGAAATAGAAATGCAAAGGGATGAGAAGCATCAAAGACTAGAAGTAGCCTGTTTTCGGAGGTGCAGGGCTAAAAGACTGTGGCGGTTTTTACTTTGTTGGAATTGCCACTCCTCTGTGACACTAGTGTTGGCCGAGATGCCTCATCTTGTCTCCGTTTGACTTTTGACACTTTGTGAAGTTCATTAACTCCCTTTCTGGAGCGGCTGGATAACTTCTTAATGGTCCCTGTAGCTAAGATTGCCTGCCACCAGAGGGCGGTCGTGCTTTGGTCATTACTTTGCAAGTATGTGGTGAGCGATGAAGAGAAACAACTTACTTAATAGACCAACAAATACCCTGGGATTTTGTGAAATAAATGTTGTCAACATCCTCTTATCTAAGGGGACGGAGGATGTGAGCACAGAACGAAATGGGTTAGGCTCCATTCCAGATTGTAGGAGCAAAAATGAACGCTTAGAGGAAAAAAAAAATCACCCCAAGTCATTAAGCTAGAGATTGACAATATTGGTCTCGTTAGCTCTATATCTTTACATTATTGCCACTAGTACCAGCAGTTTTCTACTGTTTTCAAATAGGGACTCATAGAAAGGAATATGTTTTAGTTAGATGGTGACCTTAGAGCCTAGATCTCTGAGGTCTCTTTTAGTTTTAGTATTCTTTGGTATGGGCTTAATTCAGTAGGCACTGGGGAACATTGTCCCAGGCTCTGCTATTCCTTTATATCTCTTTCCGTGATCAGTTTTCTATGGTCTTTTTAAAGGAACCTTTATTTATTATCTTCATCACTAGGATGATTTAAAAAGTCAATGAAATGTGAATGTGAAAGTAGTTCAAAGTATGAAGTAGTATACAGATGTAAAGTCTATTCGCAGATATCAGTAATTCAAATTGCATGATTTTAAGGGAGTACTTTCAATTCTCTCTGTGCCATAACTCCAAACTTTCAAATCTTTGTCATGATAATATATAATATTTTATGTTGTCTTTTTAAAAGTTTTGCAAAATTAATGTCTGACATTCCTTGTGATTAGATCTTTTGGGCTACTGTTCTTATTTTAAATATGAGAATATGAAAGCATAACAAAGTTCTTTTTTAATTTATTTTTAAAATTTTACAGAATTTATTGGGGTGACTTTGGTTAATAAAATTATATAGGTTTCAGTGTACAGTTCTACAGTACATCATCTATATACCACCCAAGGTCAAGTCTCCTTCAGTCACCATTTATACCTCCTTTACTGTCTTCTTCTACCTCCCCTGACCCCCCATTTCCTTTGGTAATCATCATACTGTTCTCTGTGTCTGTGTGGTGTTTTTGTTTGTTTGTTTGTTTAATTCCTTCACATTTACACCCAGACTTCTAACCCCCATCCCTCTGACATCTGTCAGTCTGTTCTGTGTATCTATGAGTCTGTTTCTATTTTGTTTGTTGGTTTCTTTTGTTCATTAGATTCTACATGTAAGTGAAATTATATGGTGTTTGTCTTTCTCTGACTGGCATATTTCACTTAGCATAATAGTCCCCAGGTCCATCATGCCACAAAAGGTAAGATTTTCTTTTTTCATGGCCAACTAGTATTCCATTGTGGAAATTACCACAGCTTTTTTATCCATTTATCTACTGATGAGCACTTGGGCTACTTCCAAATCTTGGCTATTGTAAATAATGCTGCAGTGAACATAGGGGTGCATATATTTTTTCAAATTAGTGTTTCAAGTTTCTTAAGATATATTCCCAGAAGTGGAATTGTTGGGTCATAAGGCAAATATGGTGAATATGTTCTCCCATTCCTTGGGTTGTCTTTTTCATTTGTTGATGGTTTCCTTGGCTGCGCAAAAACCTTTTACTTTGCTATAGTCCCATTTGTTTATTTTTTTTCTTTTGTTTTCCTTGCCTGAGGAGATATAGCAGAAAAAAAATATTGCTATGAGAAATGTCTGAGATTTCACTGCCCATGTTTTATTCTAGGATTTTTATGGTTTTGAGTCTTACATTTAAGTCTTTAATCCATTTTGAGTTTATTCTTGTGTATAATGTAAGAAGGTGGTTTAGTTTCATTTTTTGCATATATCTGTCCAGTTTTTAACACCATTAATTGAATAGACTGTCTTTACCCAATGGTTTGTTCTTGTCTCCTTTGTCAAATATTAACTGACCATAAAGCTGTGGCTTTATTTTGGGCTCCCTGTTCTGTTCCATTGATCCATCTGCCTGTTTTTATGCCAGTACTGTGCTTTTTAATTACTATGGCCTTGTATAATTTGATATCAGGTGGTGTGATTGCTCCAACTTTGTTCTTCTTTCTCAAGATTGCTGAGGTTATTTGTGGTCTTTTGTGGTTCCATATAAATTTTTGGAATAATTTTTCTAGTTCTGTGAAAAAATATTGGTATGTATCTTGATAGGAATTACATTGAATCTATAGATTGCTTTGGGTAGTATGGGCATTTTAAGGGTGTTGATTTTTCCTATCCATGAACACAATATACGCTTCCACTTATTTGTATCACCTCAATGTCTTTTTTCAGTTTCTTGTAATTTTCTGAGTACGGGTCTTTTACAGCTGTGGTTAAATTTATTCCTAGGATTTTTTTTTATGCAATTGTACATTCATTCATATATTTATGGAGTGCCTATCATGGGCAGTGCTTTTTACTTCTTGCAACAAATCATAAGAAAGAATAAGATACAAATAAAACCATAGGAGATTATGGTCTAATAGGAAACATAAAAGATGGATACAAAGAACCATAATATAGGAAAATGTTAATTAAATAACAAAAAATAAGCAGGTAATTTATTCTGGAAATTTATAGGAGTCGTATTACTTCAGGGTATTTCAGTGAGAAACAGGAAGGCATCGTTAGTACCTGTAGATCATGTGTGGAAGGCACAGTCAACTTTCTCCCCGGGGCCATGAGACTGTAAGCTCTGACGTCAGTAGGACCTTTGTTTGTATAAAGGCTCTGGATTTTGCTTGGGAAGTTAGACACGTTCTGTCTCTAAGCCTCAGATTTTATCATCTGAAAAGTGGAGATAAGAATATCTACCTTCATTGGTTACTGGGAAAATTGAATCTGATAATGTGCGGGCAGCATTTGGCACATAATGCATGGCACCGAAAGCTGTACTGGGGGCGGCTGCCGATGTGACTGACCTGCTGCTGCTGCTGTTGACAGGTGCTTTAGTAAGTTGCTGCCTTCAGCTGGCTATGGGAAGCCCAATCGATGGTATATCGAGCTATTTCGATTTTTCACCTTCGGAGGGAATAGGAGTATCTTTATTTTTGTCTTATAAAGTGAAAGTCAGTTTGTATGTTGTGAATATATAGTTATTGGGGAATCCAGAGTAAATGATCCTATCCGATGCTGAACCTGATACCTGTATCTAATAAAACATAACATATGTCATATTTTATGCAAGTGTGTGTGTATGTATTAGGTACATATGTATTTGTGTGGTGTTTTCCAGGTTTGAAAGATAAGTTGCTAAGGAGATACTTTGTCATTTTGCAGGTCGACGGAAGCAGAAGTGGGCTGTGGATCCAAGAAACACCACATGGAGTAATGATGATTCCAAGTTTGGCCAGAGAATGCTGGAGAAGATGGGGTGGTCTAAAGGAAAGGTATTTTGGAGAAGAGCAAAAGAAATCAGAGCCATGCAAGGAGATTACAAGTCAGGAGAATGCATCTTTCTTAGGGACTGAGAGATATGTATGATTTGGATCAATAAGTGGTTATGGAGGAGTAACTAAACTGTAGTGAGCTTGTGATGAGCAAGTTAGAGTTGAACATACATGTCAGCTCTCTTTGTTTATCATTCAAATTGCATGAGTAGCATCTTTCATAGACAGGCCTTTTAATTAGTTACACCTAACCATCATAGTTTTATGTTGCCAAGAGTAATATTTTATTCCCTTTTATAGCTAGACTACACATTTTCTTCTTTCCCTCACATGCCACTTATTCCTGACTCAGATAGGACTTCTACTGATGTCCTCTACACTTCAATGGTTCTTGTCCAGGTCTTTAAGTGATGATCTTGTTGGCATATCCAATGGACCCTTTTTTGTCCTCAGTCACTTAATCCCTTAGCAGCACTGGACGTGACTGACTACTTCCTTCCTGCAACACACTCTGCCCCCACTCCCACAGTTCTGCTTCCTCTGTCTTTTTCCCCCTGCCTCACCAGCCATGCCTGCTTTTGCCGCTGGCTCTGTGTCCTCCAGGCTGTTGAGCTTTGGAGCCCCAGGCCCCACTCTGTACTCTGCTCAGATGAACTCCTTTGCGTCAAACCCTGCTTTAAATTATATACATTCTGAGATTATCTGATTGTTTTAGTTTTCTGTATCTAGCCCAAATCTGTCCTCTGAGCTCCAAGTTTATAAATTAGTCAAGTTTACCTTGATCGCCTCAGATATTTTTCTTCTCGAGTTGCCCCATTTTTGCACACTGTGCCCCGTCTGTCTGCCTGAGTACTCAAGACAGAGACCTGGGAGGCACGCTTGGTCCCTCCATCTCTCTGCGTCCCAGTCGCTACACCCTCCACCCAGGGTGTCATCCCCCTGCCACCACTGCCACCGTTGCCTGCTCTCACTGCTGCAGCAGCCTCCTTTCTGCTTCCCTCCTTTCCCTGCCCTGAGTCATTTGCCAGACAACAACCACAGTGAGCCTTTAAAAGTACAGAAGTTAGATCCTGTCATTCCTTTGCTTAAACATTCTGTGATTTCCATTGTTTTAAAAAATAAGATCCAACTTTCTACTGTAATTTCCAAGGTCCTGTGAGGTCAAGCCCCTTTTTATCATCTGATTTCCTCTCCGTTCACTCTGCCAAAGCCACCCTGGTGGGCGCCTTTTAGGTGCTGCCACACACCACGCTCTCTGGGACACCTCACAGATGAGTGTTAACTGATACAGGGGACTCGGCGTCCCCCCTCCTCCTTTCTCAGTGTTGTTTGTAAGATTATTTGATGGACAGAGCCATAGATTGGTAAGAACTCGATTGGCTTCTAGCAGTTTTGTGGCAGAACTCTGATTTGGAGCCTTAGAAAAGGCATGTTCTTCAAAGTTTTTACATGAAGGTCTTAAATTAAGTTGAAGAACCAGTGTTCATTATTGTAAGTGCATTTTTCTTATTACAGACATGTCCTGTAAGAATCCATTAGACTGTATTCTCTTTGAGAGCCCACATAGTGCCTTATTCCTAGATGTTCAGTAATTAACTGAATGGTTGACAAGGGAAGATAGATATAGTCACTCTTTATACCTGATAGAAAAGCTAACTCTCTTTGTGTTTACTCTCCACAGGGTTTAGGGGCTCAAGAGCAAGGAGCCACAGATCATATTAAAGTTCAAGTTAAAAACAACCACTTGGGACTTGGAGCCACGATCAATAATGAAGTGAGCAACAGTTTGCCTGCTGAGGGTTTTCCTTGTATAATTGACTTCTGTAAATATATAAGTTTTAAGTCAGTCAGATTGATCAGTTTTTAACTATTCAAGTGTGCATCCTCCATGTTTTGTTTAAGTGAAAAGCCCGTGGCTCAGCTGGCTCTTCGTTGTGTGTCATGGCCTCACTTTTCCTGTCTGTCTCCGTGGGGTTCTTTACTTGCTTGTGTGTAAAAGATGCAAACTGGTTTTATTGCTAAACTTTGCAAAAAGTATTCTTTTTATAGAAGTACTCATTTCAGGACAGACAAGAATTTGTATCTTTTCCTATGTTCTAATATTAGCTTATCTTATTAAAAGTTGCTGGCATTTAGTTTTAGAAAAAAATGAAAAGATTCTCCTGCAAGAAAGTGGTGTTCTTTTCTTGTACCATTGTCTGTTTCTGACTGTTGGTGTACAGCAGTTAAATTTATTCTTACTTCCCCTTAGGCACTGACACTTTGAAAAGGTAACACTGTAACTAAAAATTAATGGCCTGCCCTGTGGTGCTTTTCATTTTCAGTATTGTTATTTGCTTTGGAAAGTGTCTAAGCTGAAAGCTCTGATCTTAAACTTTTACAACCAATAGAACCTGGCAGAGAACCTGGAGAATTACTCTAGGTAAACCAAATTACTTTGATTAGTTCAGCAGCCCTGAGTAGTAGACTAAGTCAGCTAAAATTTTCTGGACTACAAACTAGACTTTTAAATAACTGTAGATGGAGGTTGATTTCGAAGGTAGTTGAGAGATACATATACAGAGGTGCTTAATTTTTTAGGAGAAGCATTGCTCCGTAAACCTCTTTGATAAGACTTGACCTCACAAGGTCTTAAAGTGGTGCCTATGAAGCAAATAGATACCTTGCTTCCCACTGGGTTAGGTTGTCTTGGAGATACTCATTCTCTCTTAAAGCCTGGTAACAAACTGATTAGCTTATCGCCTTAAAAATGGGTGCCAATTGTTTCAGGGAACTTGAGACCTTCCTCCTCCCTTCCTCAGTGTTATTTTGTAAAATAGGGTTCTATGCCAGCAAATAGAATTGGGCAAAACATTTGAAGCTCAAATGAGCAAAGAAGAGAGTCCCAAGTCTATCACTGCTTTTTTCCTTTGACTTACTTAATTTTCCCTTAGAAAAAACTTTTATACTGCTTTACTTGACTATGTAGCACCAGGTTTCCTATTGATTATTTGATTATAAATTGACTGTTGATAAGTTGTCCACATTTGAAGTCAGGACTGAAGCTTTCAAGAAGCCCATTTTTAATACTAAAATAAGTAAATTGCACTTCAAATTTATATCAATCAATATTGTTTCATTCATATTTTGATGAAACACTTAAAATTTCACATTAACCACCGGATTTCCTTGCTTCCAAAATATATCTTTTCTCAACCAATCAGTGTAGGTAAAGTACAGACATGCCTCTAATGATTTTTTTTTTTTTTTTTTTTGGATTTTCAGGACAACTGGATTGCTCATCAGGATGATTTTAACCAGCTGCTGGCTGAACTGAACACCTGCCATGGACCGGAAACAGCAGGTAGGGGAAGTCTTTGCTTCGTTATTTATTTGATTTATAGAGGAGATAATCTCTCAATTTAAAATATTTTTACCAACTATTTTTATTGTAAGCATCACCTGTCTGCAAATTAATTTATTGAAGTTATTAGAAATAGTTTTTTTCTGTTTTTTTTTAATAGTGCTTTTATTGTGTGACTCTATTTCATTGCATGAAGAAAGCAAACGTTTTTTTCTAAATCAAGAGAATAGCAAGGTAAATCCATTCAATTTACAACCTCAAATAGTAAAGTGATCTTTCCAGGGATCTTTGAGTGTGTTTAAAAATATATTTTTAATATATAAAGCAAGAAATATCAATTGGGACCATAAATTAGTAGCCAGCGAAGGCTTAATAGAAAAACCTTTTTTGTGTTGATTTTGCTTAATGAAGTTGTTTTATCTTTTACTGTGTGTAAGAGATTTGGGTTTCTGGGGTATAGTGAAATTTGTTGCAAGGGGCTCACCATCAGAAATTGTATTCCTAAGCTGTAGGCAATAGAGGTGAAACAATTGACCGTTGGGCTTTCCCTGTCAAGTTAGCAGAAGGGTGCTGCTGTCGGCAGGGTGGGGAGGACAGAGTGGGTGCCCCATTCTGCTTATCCATTTGTCCATTGACAAGATGCTGGGGTCGCACCTCTTCTCACTTCGTGGCTCTCGTGAACAGTGCTGCGAACATGGGTGTGTAAATGTCTCTTCAGGTCCCTGTTTTCAATTTTTTGGAGTACATGCCCAGAAGTGGAATTGCTGGATCATACGATAGTTCTGTTTTTAAGTTTTTGAGAAGCTGCCGTGTTTTCCACAGTGACTGTGTCATTTCACATTCCCACCCACAGTGCACAAAGGTTCCAATTTCTCCACATCCTCACCAACACTTGTTATTTTCTGTGTTTCTGATAGCAGCCCTCCTGTGGGGTGTGGGGCGATACCTCATTATGCTTTCAATATGCATTCCCCTTGTGACTAGTCCGCTCGAGCACTTCCCATGTACTGCTGGCCACTTGTGTGTCTTCTTTGGAGAAATGTCTTTTCGAGTCTTTTGCCCATTTTTGAATCAGTCCTATTTATTTATTTACTTTTGAGTTGGATTCTGCAAACATTGTCATAGGGAATTTCTTTGTATTCCCTGTGTGCAATGTTTGACACATAGTGAGCTTCAAAACATGTTTGTCAAGCTGAAGGAGGAAGAACTTTGTGGAATAAAGTTACAAATTTAGACTTGAGTCCAGCAAACATTTGTTGAGCTCTGTGCTGGATGTGAGGTTAGACGTGAGGACAGGCAGGTGCGTGAGACATAACCCCTGCTTGGGAAGCAGCGACAGGATGTGCTAGTAACAGGTGACATTACAGCGCGCCCCAAACCTTGGGAGATGGAGCGCTCTGCTCTGTGTGCGGGGGAGCCCACAAGCTTCAAAGCAAAGGTACTTTGTGTTTTTGCTTATGAGATTGGACTTCTTGTTGAAATCTGTAACTTGTACAGTTTTTATTATCCATGAGGTAACTGTTAAAACTGCCCTGTGTGTTGTCCTGACAAAAGATGGCAATTTGTTAGCCAAAGAAAAACATAAGAAAAGTGTTTTGTGAACACACTGACTGGACCGGCATCAGGAAATGCGGGATCTATGCAGGAGGAAAATTCAAGGACATTAAGCCTTACCAACTGTAAACAGAAACATCTTCACATTCAGGATCACAGTTAAAGTCACTAGATGTAGGTTTGTGTTTTCTGTGCTACCTGGCTGCTTTTCCTCAGCATGCTTCTGAGATGCATTACTGAAGGGCAGTCAGTGAAATGTTTCAAGTGACCCAGGGACTTGGTTATTTGTCAGGAAGGTGCTAAGTGCATGACAGATTCCAAGCAGTGGTGCTTTGTCCTTGGGAGGCCCCATCCACAGGTTCATCTGTGCGGGCTGCTTTTTTTTCTGTGTGAGACAGAGAAGCATCTTATATCATTGGCAGCAGGAGTTAGGTACCCATCTGTAGGTTACGTTCCACCTCAAGACCACTAGAGGGTGCTGGTAGCCCTGTGATAGGGACTGGGCAGTTGGTGGCCTGCTCCCTGTCTAGCTTAGTACAGTCCAGCCCAGTTCTGTTGCTAACTGCCAGCCCCGGTGCTGAAAAACCTTTAGAATATTCCTTTTAGGGAAAACCTGCCCAAGGAGTGGACCTGGAGATCTAATAGATTATCTTGTTACCATGTCATCTTTATGCAAGTGAATATTTGGTCACAGTAAAGCTGAAATTACTGTATTAAAGCTGAAGAGCAGATGATACAATATAACCCAAGAACAATTTTTTTTTCTGTAATATATTTATTTCCTTAAGATTGCTTACCAAATTCATACAGTTTGCCTTTTAATTAAACAGATTCTATACTGTCCTCTTCATAGAATCTTGCAAAGATTCTAGAAATAACCCTTATCTCCTTGTGGGACAGAAAAATCAGTATATTTTTTAAAATTTCATTTTTATAAAAATTAATTTTATCTCAGTTACTCTCTACCAGACTCAGTTTAGCTTTTTTGGTGGACTTAATCTCATTGTTCTAGAAAATGTCTGTTACTTCCATCAGATATTTTGTTCGTTACGATTTTAAATATTTTTGGAAATAAACTGGGGTACTGAGACCCTGTCACCTACAGAGGTGTGGTTCAGGGCCGGTTCCTCAGATTTTTTGCTCACACATCCTCTAAGGGAACTTTGAAAAGCTGTATACCCTATCTCACATTTTTATGTCAATCTCTATAAAGTTTTTAATCATAGCTTTAAATAGTTGCAAAGTACTATAATTTCTGGCCTATTGGGAAATATTGGCATTTTGAAATAAAACTATTACATTAGTCCCAAATATACCCAGTAGCTAAATGTCAGAGTAATTTGAAACCGACTGCCACTTGATTTAGAAATACACCAACAAGCCCTTTAACAGTCAGAAGTACTACACTCCACAGTTCCTTTTCCTCTGAAATGACACTTTGCTTGTATGTGTCCCAGAGTATGCTACGTTAATATATTTTTTGCTTAAACTTTAAAAAATTCATCATCCTATCATATTTCCCTGCCACAAAGCAAATACATAGAATTTTTTTATTTGTTTCTAGTACACTCAAGGCTTTAAGTGTAAACATTTTTCCTTTGGGTTGTTATTCTGATTAGTAGATTACAGTTACTAAAACCAAAAATACGTGCTAAACTCTGATGAACAACTATTAGGACAGTAAAATCTCTTTGGAAGCGTCTCTCCGTGCGGTAGGGCTGTGTGGGGAGGGGGCTGCCTCTGCTGTTCTGAGTAAAGGGTGCTTCCCTCACACCGGTGCTTTGGCTTGTTCCTGTTTCTCTCTGGTGAGAGGAGAGTTGTGCCTTTGTTTTGTAAAGCAGGTGGAGGCTGTGTGGGAGAAGTGGGGAAGGAGGGACAGACTGATGCATCCCCAGAACGAGAGCGGTTACAGGACAGAGGGCACATGAACAAGTAGATAGAAGTTCCCCCAAGGTCTGTCCCTGCTCAGATATGCTTTGGAAAGTCCATACTGGGAAGATGGAGACGATAAATCGCCAGCGATTCCTACGTGGAAAAGCAGCTCTGTTGGGGGCAGTGTAGGGGTTCTGAATGTACATCCTCACTCACATCTGCCTGGGTTGGAATCTCAGCATAGCCCCTTCCTAGATGTGCCTTATTCAACCCATCCGTGCTTCACTGCCCTTCTATGAATAATCATAGCAGCTACCTAATGGGGTGGTTGTAAAATGAAATACAGAAATGCATCGAGAGCTCCTAGTCTAGTGCCTGGTACTCCATATGCCTTCAGTCGATGGTGGCTGCTTGAAGCTGATAACTCGCTAGGTGATTTCTGTCTGGAACATCACAGGTGAGAGTGTTATGTGCCATATGAAGTGTTTGGCCCTAAAAAGAGGAGAATTATTCATCTATGATGTTCTGTTTTTGTTACTCTGCTACCTGAACTTGTGGGAAGTCTTTTCAAAAACTCGCACACCAGCCCTGGCTCGTGTGACTCAGTTGCAGTGTTGTCCCCTAGACTGAAGGGTTACAGGTGTGATTTCCAGTCAGGGCACATGCCTGGGGTATGAGTTCAATCCCTGGTTGGGTGCATTTGAGAGGCAACAGATTGATGTTTCTCTCCCTCTCTCTCTCCCTCCCTTCCTCTCTCTCTATAATCAATAAGCATGTCCTCCTTGGGTGAAGAATATTTTTTAAAAATCACAAGCTATTCTTGGGAAGTGACTGCAGAAGAGAGTGTTTCAAGTTGTTTATATATTGAGTTAGCCAAAAAGTCTTTATGTTTTTTTCCATTAAATAAAAGACACATTTTTCATTTTCACCAATAACTACTGATTTGGATATCTTGAGTATGTCGGCTGTCTCCTGCTATTGGCTTCTAGTGGGTAGAGATCAAGGGTGCTGCTAAACATCCTCCAATGCATAAGACAGCCCACAGCAAAGAATTATTTGGCCAAAATGTCAATAATACCAAGAAACATCGCAAACCACTTTTGACACATTTGATCAGTGATAGTACCTTCTCCATACACTGCACATATAGTTTTTTGCATTTCAGTTGCATTTTTACCTTTCTTGAAATAATAAAGCATAATAAGCCAAGAATGTTACATATTTTTTTCCATCTTCAATATTAAAATGGCTGCACAGAAATTCACCAGTTTTGATAAGATTTTGTTTAAATGCACGCTGATATGACAGCTGCCATACTATATAATCTAACAAAATTGTTTCAAATGAAGTTAAAGACAACTAAGCACTACTAGAGCCATCGTACAGAAAAAACTAAATGAACATTTTGGCCAGCCCAATAATTAACCCACGTGAGGCATTGTCTGAAAGCTTGACACATCCATCTTTCTGTTGTTAGAGCCTTTATCTGTAAGCGCTCTAACTTTCCTTTTGGAATGACCAGGTTCCGGAAGGGATTGGGACTACCGCGTTGTTCGATGGACTGAGCTTGTTTTGCTCCGGTAGTAAGGCAAAAAGTTTCTTTTTTCCCCCCATGCCTAACTTTATGATTTTATTTCCTATTGATGTAACTATAGGAAAACTCAGTCCCTCTTCTACCTGTGATGTTCTGTTTTGGTTCCTCTACTACCTGAACTTGACGAACTTGACCAACAGGTAAAGCTGAGGGAACACATACAGGCAGGTTTTCACTATCCTGTAATTGACTCCAACCCCAGAGCTACTTGATCTGATATTTCAACTGAGGCACTAGTTTAGGGCTCACATTTTTCCTGCTGTGTCAAAGAAATAATCACATGAGTTTGATCCTCAGTCATTTCTTCTTGTTGTTTTTGCCCTTTGAGGTGCGCCACCGGGAAAACCTGGTGTGTCAGGCAGCCACTCAGTGCCGGCTCTGCGCGTGCACACTCTGTCTGGTTATCATCTCTGATCTGGTTTCTGATTATTGTTAACCGGTCTTGCCTTTGTTTGCTTTTTAAAATAACTTTTTCTGTTGAAACACTTAAAGACTTACAGGGAGTTGCGGAAACAGTTCTGTGAAGAGCCCTGAGCACTGTTGTCCAGTTTCCCCGGTGGTGACGTCTGGTAGAACTGCAGTGCGAGCTCAGAACCAGGGAGCTCACGCCACTGCGGGCTGTTAACTAGACCAATGGGTGTCACTTGGTTTTCACTGTATTTCATGCCTCGTGTGTGTGTGTGTGCACGCGTGTGCAAGCATTTTTATCGCATGTGTACATTCATGTAACCACTGCCACAGTCAGGAGACAGGGCTGCTTCATCACCGCCAAAGAGCGGCCTCACTCACGCCTCTCTCTGTATTCACTCCCACTCCCGCCCCTCTAACCAACCTCCAACGCCTCACTTCCAGCTCTGTACCCTGGAGACCCTTCAGTAGTTCCCCTCTCTGGAGTTTTGTCATTTCAGGAATGTTACCTGAACTGAGTCATTTAGCATGTAGATGGACCTTTCTCACTGGGCATCATGCCCTTGAGGTCCGTCCAGGATGTTGGGTGTGTCAATAGCTTATTGCTCTTCCTTGTGGAGTGGTGTTCCAGAATAAAGGTGTGCCAGAATTTGCTCAGCCGTTCACCCATTGAAGGGATTTGGGGTTATTTTCAGTATTTTACTATAATGAATAAGGCTGTTATGTATATTGGTTTTGTAAATTTTTATGTGAACACAAGTTTTCATTTCTCTTTCTCAAAGATTGTATAAATTTCTGGAAAACAGGCTTGCCTAATTTGAGGTATACAGTTTAAGAAGAATATTTCTAATCATTTGATTAGTGTTCAATAATAATTGATAAGGTTCCCAAAGGTTTTATTTAAATAAGATCATGTCACTGTACAAGAATAAATGAGAATCGATTACAGAGTTTAATGGAAGGCTTTCTGTTGTTGTTTTTTTTTTTTTAAGATTCTACCTCAGACAACAAGGAAAAGAAATCTTTCAGCCTTGAAGAAAAGTCCAAAACCTCCAAAAACCGTGTTCATTATAAGAAATTCACAAAAGGTAGAATTAAGTATTTTCTTAACATGTCGTTGATACCTCTGTGTTCGCATTGGGTTTCTTGAAACTCTTTTGGCTCTTCACTGGCATTGCGTTTTGTTTCCCACTGAGAAGGGGAGTTATGGGTGGCCTGACTGGACAGGTGCAGCGTGGTGCCGCAGCTCCAGCACTTCCTGTTACCCTGCAGGCACCTCCTCGGAGGCGGTTCAGAGTCACTGTCTCTGCCGTGGGTGAAGCTGGAGGCACAAGGCCAGGTGCTATGTGGAGGAGAAACGGGATTTTGTGTGGCCAGGCCAGGAAATAATTCCAATTGATTGCTCAACATTTTAAGTTACATTTTCCTGTTTTTCAGAGTGTAATGTTGGTGTTGGGTAGCTCTTAAAATTTTTCAGTTTACAGAATTATGTTCTGTATTGAGATCTCCAGTGTGAGAAATCTCACTCCCCAATTGATCTTTATATTGTTGCACACCATTTCTTCATTTCATGATTCCATGGCCATTGGGAAGACCGTGTTAGAAAACATGTTTGAGAACTGGGTGGGAAATCCTACCCTTTCTTTCACCACCTCCCCACTGCCTGCCTTCCCAGTACGTGAAAGCCATTGTGATTGCAGCTGTCCTCTTTAATCACTAGGTGGCGGTGTTGTACTGGTAAGAAGCAGTTTAACTAGAACTCAACTCCCCAAACTTTTTCCCTTGGAACAGCATTATACATTAAGTGCACTTTCCAGGCACAGAAGCCTATTTATTGCATACTATACTTAAAGTATAAGTATGATGATAATTCATGTTGTGATATATAGGTATCATTTGATGGTTCTTCTATGGGAGATTGGATATACGCACCCAACTCTTTGCTTTAGCCTTGTTGGCATTATTGGGAATTCCCTAACTCCTAGAACCTCTGAAATTCCCACTTCTTTAAACTATTAATGGTGGTTCTCATGGGGCACAGGACCCTAGAAGGTAGGAAGGAGTTTGGTTTAAATGAGAGCCCACAGCAGAGCTGAATGGAGTGGGGAACTGAATAGCTTTGGGATGTGCCAGGAGAGACTGGTGCTTCCCTCATGCCTGTCCTGGCAGGTGTAGCTGCCTGGCCCTTCGTGTCATTCCTCTTTCTCTCGGGCGAGGACCTTCTTTGTCGTTTTTCTGTATGACTTCCGATCAGGGTTTCTCTCCACCCCCGACCTGTGCAGAACACAAGACAGTCCTTGTTGGCCCTCAGTCCTTTGGAGGAGAGGCTACACGGTCACATCATACCCAAGCCGTTAAATGTCCCTCCTTTTCTCATTTAGTCACTCTAGAAAAAAAGGGATATAGCAGAAGGGTACTGAGCAAGCTAATAACATTAGAAGAGGCCTGTAACTTTTGGATGGCATGGCATCCTTTTAGACTTTCGCTTTTGCAACTAAGATATTCTCGTTTTCTTTTAATACCTAACTCCTTGCGTGAGTTCATCTGAAGCCAGGATAAACCTCTTTAATCTAATGGATGCTGGAAGTATCTGCTTTCTCTTTCTAGCTAAGCCACTCCAAGTGACCCTGTCAAATTGCTTGGTGTGTTGCACCTTTGTTTTTTATCTTTTAAAATGACGACTGCTTGTTTGCCTTGCCTGGGGGCCACTGGTGTACAGGGAAGAGAGTTTAAAGTTCTTTAATTGACTAAAGGAACTTTTCCCTTGTGGAGCCCCTGTTGTCACTGTGTGTGAACGGGGACTCTGTCCCCACTAAGGTGGACCGCCTTGGGTGGCAGGAGACTGGGCACTGGCCTTCTCTCCCTTAGACGGGTCACTCAGCCACTCCCCTTCTCTCGGACTCAGCTTCCTCTTGTGTAACGTGAGGAAAGATTTTTAAAACACCACTGAGCTCTAAAATAGTTCCTGTTTTATGACATCAGAAGTGTCCCCATTATATGGAATTTCGATTGTTTGACATTCTGGATAGTGAGGATTTCAGCCTGTGGGTGTGCTCGTAGTGAAAGTAACTGATTCACCCATTGGATCAGGATGGTTCATGCTGTAACTTCCTCTGTGGTCCACATAGTTAGAACAGGGGAATATGGCATTTGTGTAGCTTAGTGTGAAGAGTGAAGATACACGTTTATTTTAGTGAGGTAGCATTGTGAAATTTGCTGCTGCCTAAATATTGACTACCATTTTAGTTCTGATACATAATTATTTCTTTTTTTAGTCCAGAATTTTAATTTTAAGTAATTTATTAGATAATTTCAAAAGTTAATTTCACCCATATTTGTTTTAAAAGCCTGACTTTGATGTGGTTTCTTTTAATTCGAAAATGGTTCAGCAGTGTCATATCTGCAGAGAGGAAATCATAGGGAAAATATCAATTTCTGCCAAATGATTTTCTGTTTACAGTGAGAAGTTGTCGAGAGCATTGCCTTTTCCCCCCAGTTGTGCAGTGGTGGATAAAAAGTTGCTGACACTATAGTTGTGCAACTCCATCACGGTAATTTACCCATACTTCTTATCCCTGTGACAGTTTGCAGTATTTTGCTTCTTAAACAAGGAAACGGCCCACACACCACATGTCCCGGTAGTGGGCTTGCCGGTCTGGAGACCCAGGCTGCAATGCATCTCCCCCGGCCGAGTCCTCCCCGCTGTGGGACTCTGCCAGCGATGGACATTAAGTTTCCTCCTCCGGTTCTATTGGCATTAGACTATAAAGTGGCCCCGCTGCAGGCTTTTTAAAAATTCCACTATCTTGTTATTATTTCCCCTCCTGCCCCGACTCTTGCCCGTCCCCCGGGTTCTGACACCGTGCCCTTGCCATGAAGGTGGCACCACCTTCCGTCCTGGGCTTGTCTGCCCTACAGGCGCTCATTTTCTTCCATCGAAATACGACTTTTTTATCCTCCTGATTTGGGAGTGCAAATGAATTCTCTCAGCAAATGAAGCTACCTACGTAAGTCTGAACTTTTTATTATAACAAATATGTTTCTCAAATCTGCATTTCTTGCCCTTATCCTTTTACTCTGAGTAGAAAAACTCAGTTTTTTTGAGCCTCAGTTATAATACAGTGCTGCAATACAGTTTTCTCTTTAGAACTTGTTGGGTTCTATATGACTTTTGCCCGTAAACTAGAAGGCTCCAGATCTCTGTAGTTCTTACACTCTTATGTTTCCTAGGTTTCCTTTGCTTCCCATGGGGACTTCCTGTGTCGTGCATGTGCCTGCCTGTAGCGGGGACATTCTCCCTCCAGCCTTCCACTTGGGTAGCTGGAAGTCCCAACGCTCACGATTGCCAGGGAGACCGCTGAGGTGGTAGTACAGAGCTTTTTTATCAGCTCATCCTGGTTCTTGAAATGTTGTGGCCAGTTAAAGATTAACAGATACATGAACCAAGTCCAGACAGACAACGTACTTCCTAGTCTGTTCATTTTTTTTATTGCCATTTCCTCTAAGACCTAAGTTTATCGGTAATATTTGCTGTTGACTGTCATTCAGAACTGAGACCAATAAACTTTTAAACTCTTTTTAGACATGTATATTTTATTTAAAAGTGGCCATACATGATTTTATAACATTTATAAACTGTTCAGCCAGGACCGTTAACTAATGGCTATTTCAGTTCTACCTCCATCTCCATTGTTACCCACCTCGGCGCTCCTTTCCAGGGGTCTCTGACTTTCTTCTTCTGTTTTGTTTTCCAGACCAAACCCCAAGGCAGGCCTGTAACAACCCTGGTCTCTGCCTTTACTTAAGTGAACTTTGCTAAAGGATAAAAGTTTCTGATACAAGAACCCATCGCCAAAACCGTAGAAATACTTGCACCTTCATTGGTATAGCTCACTCGCTATCAGCCTGGCAGTTTTCCCTTTGATTTTTAGATTTGCTTTTGATCTCTGTGTGGTCATATTTTGGCATCCTGTTTTAAAATTGCAATTCGCATGTGCCCTGTTTTTCTTAATCCCTCCTGCATTCCTTTTAGTTGACTCGCTATAAGAGGGATCTTTATTTGCTCTCCTGTTAGCCTATCTGTTCCGTTTCAGAAGGTAGTTGAGGATCGATAACTGCACATTTTGAACTAGTGTGACTCCTTTTTCTGCGGTAGAAGCCGCCACCCAAGTGTGCTGTGCAGTGCACTGAGTGACTGGTTCTAGCTCAGGGAGAAGGGAGAGAGCGGCGCAGGGCCACAGAGGAGCCCGTCCCTCTTGATAAGAACAGGCTGTACTGATGGGGCTGTTGAAGCTGCCGCCCGTGAAACTGGTTTTGGCACCTGGCTCTGCATTAAGTCGAAGGGTGTTTTGTTTTTTAATTTCATGGAGTTGCTGAGCAATATCATATTTGAATGCCCCACTGATAGTCAGTGAACTAGAACCTTCTGGGTCAGGACATTACTTTGCCAAGTCAGTTTTGCTACAGGAAACCAAGAAGGGAGTCTGCAACAGTGAACTCACAGCCCAGAACAAAGATTCTGGTGTCTAACCCAGAGCCTTGCTCCCCCCGAGCCTCAAGACTCAACGTGTGGTAGTTGCATTTTAAAAAGAATTAACCATGAAGTTGACAAGTGGGAGTAGATTTGGTCTACTGCTCACAGAGTATTTTTGGTAGAAGTGGAAATTCCAAAGAATTGAATATTAAATCACTTGGTTTGTGGGTTTGAACTTAAGTTAAAAAGTTTAGTGTTTTTAATAAGAACCATGGGTCCTTCGGCCACTGCTTTTGTAAGAAGGCTTTTAATTTCCTGCTCTTATCGTGTACCCATTATTTAAAGCTGACATAGTAAACTCTTTCACCGTAATCCGGTATTTTTATTTGCATTTTCTCTTTTGAAATTTCGTTTATTCACTTAGTTATTGAACGCCTGTGTGTCAGATGCAGTACTTTCTCATTCATGTGCACGAGTGGGGTTTCGAGGACACAGACCCAGCAGCATTTTCTGTTCTGCTTTCTGTAATCCTAAGTGGCTCATGTCTCCTTGAAGTGAATAAGGTCTGTTTTGTAAGTGGGGAAGCCAGAGACACAAAAGTTATATACCCGGAAGGTGTGCCGGTAGTGGAGTGGCTTTAGAATTGTTCCTCTCTCAGTCTGCATGTTCTCGGTGGTTTTTACCACTAAGAGACCGTCGGTGCTGCTGGATCTCAAACACTTATTTGACTTTTAAGTGATTTTAAACGGTAATTTCATTAGTTAATTAAAGGATTTTCGTCTGTGCAGTGGAGAGCAGTTTGCTTTTAGGAGGTTCACAGCTTATATTTGTGCCCTGTATTTTCCATGATCGGTGTTACTAAAAGGCATCGTATTGTTTTTCTAGGGAAGGACTTATCATCTCGGAGCAAAACAGATCTTGACTGCATTTTTGGGAAAAGACAGAGCAAGAAGACTCCTGAGGTATTAACCACGTATATCTGATAATATATGTCTGTTTCCCCAGTTTGACTTCCAGCTGCATGTGGAACTGTTTAGTATGAATAGTAGTTTTCAGGCAAAGTTACCAAAAATCTTTTAGAGCTTCTTACAAGGGCTAAATGTGATCCTCTTCATCGTTGGGAGATGATATGTTATAAGAACCCTTTGAAAAGGGTGCGTGCTCTCTGGGTTTGGTGGTTGTGTGAGGACTAGACTGACCTGGGGGCGAATCCCACGGCTGATCCGTAGGAGGGGCAAGGCCCTCTCCCACCTTCAGGAGAGGGGGGTTGCACCCTGCAATTTGTTTGCTGTGCTCAGTCCACACCCCTCTGTGTGGAATCTGGCTTGGGGAGGAGGGCTATCATACGTGTCTCCAGTTCTGGTCTATTCCATTTTAAAAACATTCTGAAACATTTTGGATTGATCAGCATTGAGAGTTAGGAAGGGACTTAGATGTGTAGTGTTTCTTCCATTGCACAGCACTGTTTGTTTCAGAACCAGAAGACAAGAACTGGGTGACCAAACTACACCCTGAATGAGACAAATCTGTACTCCATAACCTATTTGTTAGACAGGGCTGTGCAGTGTAGCACCACTTGTGTGTGTGTGTGTGTGTGTGTGTGTGTGTGTGTGCATGTGCGCCTGTCCCGGTGGTAAGAGGCAGCCCTGGATATAGTTTGGATGTCAACATTAGATTTTTTAAAACATGGATTTTTAGAGCTAATGGGACCAAAACACTTAAAATTGATGTTGTCTGTGAAAATCTGGACTATGTGGATGCTGCAGCTGGTACCCAGTTAGTCTGCTGTGTCATGCTTGTGTTGCTGTGTTGGTTCTCGGCCAAAGCCCTTGGTGACTAGAGAACCAAAAAGACTTGTTTCATTTATTTCTTATATTTCTCCAGACTGACAAATGTTTCCTGGGTGATAGCTGTTTGTTACTTGATATTATTTTCAAAGACTCTGGAATGACCAGTTAGTTACTAGAAATTTTGTTTGGCAGTTGCCTTTGTAGGCTGGGACTACATTTTTGATCTTTTAGCACTTTTGTGACCCTATACCGTTATCAGTGGGGACAGGGGAAGCAGGCCCAGAGAGAGAACCTGGGCCCCCTGGCTTCCGAGGGGTGGCGCCTGCAGGATGCTGGGTTGTGTCAAACACAGGTGGTCATTAGGGAGGAGGCGTTCCGGTATCAGTCACACTGACTGTTCTTGAGGCTGCGGGAAAAGCTGAGGTCATTGGGCAGCTCCTGGTCACACCTCTACCCCTGGGTGGTTAGTGTGTGTGACCTGGGTTAGGCCCCTCTTCACCAAGGACTTTGTATCTGCCTTCTCTCACTCTCCTCTCGAACCCTGCGTTTGACCATCGTCAGTAATTTCAGGATCCCCAGGGAGATGCTCTGCTCTGCCCCAACAGTCCCTCCCAGGGCAACATCCTGCACCTTTGCATTAGCCCCACATCCCCCTCTGGAGCCCTGACGCGAACTTCCTGTCCCCACTCTCCCGGACTAGCATTCCCGCAGCACTGGCTTTTCCACACCCGTGTGTACTTGGGTCCCTGGGTCCTCCCTTTTCTCCTTGCTGCCAGTGCTTCGGGAATGCACTGAAGCACTGGCCCCCAACCCTCCTCCTCCCTGGCACTGTCTTTGAAATTTTATAGTTGAACAGGTCAAGGAAGGAGACACTTTTGAAGGGGTTCTGGTAGAACTCTAAAAGCATTTATGTGGTAAGCATGAGGACATGTGTTGTTATAGGGGATTAGAGGGTTCTGATCCTCAGCAGACATCTACCTGAGGACTTACTGATGTTTGATGCCACGATGCCAGGAGGTTCTCTATACTGTGTGGTGTTACTTGACTTTTTGATGGTGTCACCATTTGTGACCATGTTAAAGTGAGCCTGTATTGGAGGAGACAGTTGCCCACTGCTAGCCCAGGGAAAGTCTGTTTTGGTGCAGTTGATGTGGAGAAGACCTACCCTTATATAATAATACTATTTAATAATATATCATTAAGCATATTTAATAATGTATATGATCATATATTATATATAGTAATATATAATAGTATGTAGAATTGTTAAGTAATGCTATTTAACAACCTTGATATAATCTATTTTGATGCAGCTGATGTAAGAAGACCCACCTTGACATAATAACACTGTGTTTTGTGCAAGATTCACACCCAGGTGCATCCCAGTCCCTTGTTCCAGTTCACTGTCCTCTTCCGATGAGGCATGTAAAGCCCAGTTGTCTGGCGGGTGGGTGGGCATCGTGGTGCAGCCCTTGGCCTTCTCAGTGGTGCTCAACAACACTTGTGCTCAGGTCGCCTCAGGAGCTTTAAAAAATGCCAGTGCCAGGGTTCCGCCCCAGACCAAGCAAATCCACAGCCTGGGTTCAGGTCATGCATAAGCGTTTAAAAAAAGAAGAAAAATTTAAGGGAAAAAAAGCCTACCCAGATGACTGAGGTGATTGTTCTGATGTGCAGTAAGGAGAAAGGATTGAGAACCACCAGTAGAAGCCTTGATATGTAACTACACAGGATGGGGCCAAAGTGGTTTTACAGTTATTTTGTATGGAAAGTAATACAACGATTAATAAACAATAGCCCAACTCTATGTTTTGCGTGCTCAGAACTGTAAACCTTCTTTTGCCCACCCTGTATTTGTAGTGTCTGGCTTTAGGGTCACAAGTACTGCCTAGAACAGGGCTTCTCCAATCTTAATATGCCCATGAATCATCTGGGGATTTTGTGAAACTGCAAATCCTGGCTCTCGGGGGTGGGGTGGGAGCTCCCAGCTGCTGCTTCTGCCACTGGCGGCCAAGCTGTGCTGCGCACCTAACACTGCGCAGGCGGGATCGACGCCGTAGTTCACGTTTGACATATGCCTGTATGTATGTATAAGGTAGAGCGTATCTCCGTCTCAGTACATCTTCAGACACAGAATAAAAAGTCTTAATGCAGAGTCACTTTTAAATTTAAATTTCACACACATAAGGACTTTCCTATGTAGACTTTGTTTTCACTGAGGCACACCTGAATAAACTGTTGCTAAGAAACCTGACCTGTTAGTTACAACAGCCCTTATAGCCAAGGGCGGGAGGCCTTTGATCAGATGTGTTTGAACATACAACCTCTTTTGGCTCCTGTTTGCAGCTGGAAAGAATATTGCTTTGTTTTTGCTCCCTTGACCCCCATAGCAACATTGGCCTGACTTTATACTTGGCACTGCCAAGGCGAGGGTGCTGCTGGAGGCCAGACAGCTGAAGAACCTCAGAAACCACGGCAGCATTGAACGTGGAGGCAGCGAGACCTCTCTGGGGCCCTGGATAAGGTGCTGAGGTGGACGTCTTCATTGCCTCTGGATCTAAAGAGCGCTGGATGTTGGCCACGTCTGGGTTGGGGTGACCTCATGTCTTCTCTCACAGTGACCCCAGCCCACTGGTCTCCGCACCCCTGACTGATAGAGCAGCAGAAATCACAACTTTGTTAACTAACCGTCTGTGTGCCTGACACTAGGGTAGACACTTGTGAGAGTATCTGACTTCACTCTCATAACAACTCCGTGAAGTGGGCATGGTTAGCACCTTTCCAGCAATGAGGGGACCACGGCTCCAGAATATTTGTCACAGAACTCCCGAGTGGCACAGATGGGACTTAAACCCAGGCTCCTCTGACCCTGAAGTGTGTCCTGTCCTTGTACCACAGTCCTGCCGGTGTCACTTAACTTCTTTTCGATTGTTAAAACAAATCTCCATTTAAATGATTTTAGTTCTGCTTTAGAAGTGTCCTTTTAGATTTTATCAAAGATATAAGTAGTTAATACTTTGTCATGACTTCTTGGGAAAATGATTGGCTGTTCTCATTCTGCTGAAAACAATGTTTGACTTTAAAACGTCTGCCCTGCCAGCAGTCAGAGTTGCAGGTTTTGGCTGGAAGTGTGTTACCAGTGCTGGGTGGACACTGGGGACGCTGGGGGTGCTGGGGACGCTGGGGACGGCTTCACCTTGTCGCTGGAGCTGTGGGCTGAATTCAGACAGAGCTGGCTTAAGTTTCTGAGCAGGTGTTACTTGTGCATTTTCTGGTCTCTCAAATGAAATGAATGATCTGAACATATTTTTATTCAAAAAAGCACTATCAACAGCCCTAGATTAATAATAGTCATGAGGTTTTGGGTTTTTTTTTAACTTTTTATTTTGAAATAACTGCAGACACATTGGGAGTTTCGAAGCTAGTTCAGAGGTTCAGGGGTTCTGTGTGCCCTTCACCCAGTTATCCCAGGGATTACCGCTTACGTAACTATAGTGCGGATGAAGACTAGGAAATTCCCAACAGTGCACCTTTGTGTGTCCTTCTGTGCCTCTGAATCCCACTTGTGGGTGCAGACTGTTCTCCCACCACAGACGTTTCCCTCATACGCCCTCCACTGCAGCCACACCCCCATTCCCCCCCCCACCCCAGCAACCCCTGCTGCCAACGGAACTGTCTCATTTGCAGTGAAATACGTGTGAACAATCTGATCTCTCAGCTTGATGCCAAGTCTGCTCATCTCAATAATGATCAATACACAGGTTTTAAGGGCCGACTGTAGTTCCCATTGCCTGCCCCCCAACTCTTACTTACGCTAGATTTTATGTGTTCTATCTTATGAATCTTTAGAGAAAGCCTTGTAGAAATCAGATGGTTCAATGTCTTTAAGAAGTCCAAACCTGTCAATTAAGTCACTCACTTTACTAATTTTGGAAATGTATCAAACTGTAAACTGATATGTAAGTGCAAAGTGGTATCACTAATGTGTGACCATTTTGTCATCTGCAACATGTTGGCATAGGAGAGCTCCTTGGGCAGTTACCTCAGGGGGCAGTACCTCAGGGTGCACTCCCTGTAGTGAGGTTGGTGAGTGCCGCTACATTGCGTGTGGAGATTCGTGTGTGGGCATATGTGCATGAATGTGTATAAAGTTCAGTGCTTTTTATCAGATTTCT